TGACCTCTGAAACGTTGGTTAACATCGACCAGACTACACAGCGCAACAACCCAGAAGACAGAAATCTTCAATTTAATGGTAGTTTAGCACATCCGTAAGTTAGGTAATTTAAAGATGTAATTAGATGCAAAGATTGAATGTACAAGTTTCAACAACTTTATTGTTAACTCAAAAATACAATATAATAATAATGAGTGACACACATCACCAGCCACACAAAGTGTGTTATGTTCGGTAACAATATCATCTTGATTTGCTGATGTGAATACAACATCTGAATTACGACAGAACAGGTTGCACCAAAACTGAAATATGTCTGGTGTTAAATTTAACAGATTTTATTTGACACTAAGAAATACTGAAGAAGACTATTTGTCATTAATTCACTTGTTGAGACTAGTTTCACATCTGAGTTCCTCTAATAAATGGATTTCTGGTTATTTTTATAATGGGTAACTTGTAACGTTATTATTTTGTGGCCACTACACAGAATACAATTTAGCCATTTATTACGTTATGCTAATTTTTCTGTAAGCGTATTCTGTGCTGGCCGCTTTAATTCCATTAAAAAATTTTCCTTGAGATTAACAGTGTTCTTTATACAAAGAAAGACATAATTTATAGAATTATTTTTTGATATAAATGTTTTACATTAAACAAAATATTTACAGCCTTAGCAGTACACAACGAAAATTGATCACCTAGTTACAGCGTAAAATCGACGTAACTCTTCATTAAACGCAAGATAGAATATATTTTATTTCTAATAGTGTCTTAAATGATTTGTTCATTGCAACCAAAATACAGTGATAAGTGAGGATCTAGAAGGAACTGCTCACTTACACATATTCAGTTATTAAAATATCTATTAAAATCACAGCTAATCGTAATAGATTCTGTACAATTACGAATAGAATTTCTGATGGTAATTGAGAGTTTTGTCAGGAATTCTGACATGATTTTGAGCTCCATATTTATAATTTTCTCCACAAAACAATACCTGTAATTTTTGTGGATAAAAATAATTGCACTCTTCTCTTTATATTTTAGTTGTAATTCACTCATTCACGTAATTAAATAAATATTAGAATGCGAGATATTAAAAGAGATATAAGTTGTCTTTGAACATTCAGTACTAACGCAGTGTCCCTGCCATTCCACTAAAAAGTATAAAAACTACTTTTGAGTAGAATAAGGATTCCATGAGCTTTAAGATGAAAAATGGGTTTGACCCTATAAAGCTAATGGTAGCCTTTTTTAACAAATAACTTGTAGAAATGAGATGAAGGCGTGACATCATTAGAGGTGAACATGGTGATGTAATGAGATGATGGCGAATTCTTTGGGCTCTCCTCGTATTTGGTCAGGCCATTAGAAATGATTCACGATGATGATTCACGATAGTTTACAACAATGATGTTGAAAGTAATCCATATAAATGCTGGGCTTCATATAGTGTTAGAAATTGCCTGAAAGGCACCTACTTGATAAATATATTTAGTTTCTGTTGTGTTTTTGTAAGGAGCATCATTTAGCAGTTTCCTCTAATGAGTTTCACAAAAAAAAAATCTCAACAAAGGAAAGATAATCAAATATGAGCATTATTTGATTTTATCGAGAATGACATACTGTCGCATGTCTAATACATTCCCAAAACGTCTTGGCATATTAAAATTGTAAAATTATTAAGTACATAAATTATTCTTTCATCAATGTTGAACAGGTTTAAAAAAATGATGCTGTACCTAATAGACGCCAAGAAATTTTGGGTACAATTTGCCGCAAATAGACATATGGAACTCTTCAGTGCGTCTGTGTCCTTGTAGTTAATGTACATTATCCTCAGTGTAAACTAATAGGAGGTAAAAAATCACCACACCTGGGGAAATTTTGTGGCACGGGTGGCAGGTCTGCGTGAGTTCCGACGTGAATGATCGTATTCATGCCTATGACGATGTGGAACAGGAAGTGACAGTGAAATAGCCAATATCCTGGAAAGCAAGGCACATGACAAATTAGTTCAGTTGATAATGAAGAAATATGCACTATTTGGTACTCAAAATGTTGCTTTTTAAATGTCCCTTGAGTTTATCATTATTTATATCGATGAGTCTGCTGGGAAAATTTAAAAAAATTAAATTTACCGTAAGCATATCATTACTTCTTGAGAAGCTTAGTCGCTCAGTTGCTCCAGAAATTTCTGTCCTGTTACGGAAGTCAAAGATTATTTGCTATGTTCACGGCTGACTGTCGCTAGATCATGCCATGAGGCAGATGAAACTAATTCAAATCCTCACACATTATTTATTACCTTTGGTTAATTTTAATATTATCCCATTATCTACTTATGAGGCCCCCATTTCGTCTCTTTCCTTCAGGTAATCGGACAAAAATGTTTGCATCCATCTGAGCCTACTTCATTTGTTCACAGTAATAATATTTAGGAAGAGTTAAGAATTGTTTGTCTCTCGTGACATCAAGGAGAGATTTGGTCTCTTCTGCCTGGTGTCAAAAGACTGAATCATGCATCCACCTACCAGGGTTATCTGCACGGAACCGGAACACGACGTAGCCATTATTAGGAACAGCAATTGTATCTTTTCCGGGAGGCAGGTTGAATTGTCTGTTGAGAAGACCTCGCCTGTCCAGGTCCAAGGCATGCTTGAGGTTAATCTTTTTCACGTTCCTATCTGGTGACCTCCCCATACCGATAACATTGAAAGCGTAGCCATGTAGATGGAACGGGTGGCTCAGGTTTGGCTGTTGGACTGCAAACGAACACCATGGTCTGATTACATAAATGTTTCAGTACAACTTATAAAACCTACTTTTCTATAATACGTATTTCCAGCGATACAAGTTTATAATCCAATAATAGATTGAAATGGGTTATTATACCAATGTTGTGAGGAAATGGGCATTGGATAAAATTGTACTCGAATTAGTAATTGTTTGTAATTGTAAACATGTTACATGCTCATTATTATTAAGTTTTTTATAAAAATATAAGTAAATTAAAATGAGCTATTATTATTAATAACAACATAAGTGTTACGTTGTTAATATCAGTGGCCACGAAAGGGGCATGCATGTACTTGTATGTATCGGAACTGCCTTTCGTCCTTGATTTTTGTCCCAGTAATTGTTATGTTAGATCGACGATAATGAAGAAGTAGTTCGGAATATTTTAGGTAACGTAGTTTTAAAATCGTTAAAATTATACGACCTTTTTTGGACACTACGTAAATTTTAAAAAATGTCAGATAGTTTGGGAATCCCCCTGAGATCGCTGAGTAATTTACCTTCGTCGACTAAAACGACCTCTACAACGGCGTTGAGAGGGATGTCTACTTTGTGGGTGCACATGCAGTTGGAGCCACAGTCTGCGGGTCTGTTGTCACCATTACAGAATTGTTCCGGTGGGATGTCGTCGACCTGGGACAAGGGGGGCGAAGGTGGAAAGACGAAGGAAATCTCGTCGACGAGACTGATGACGTGGTCACCAGTTGGGGCAACTGTTAACAAAAGAAATCCGATATCGTTAGTTGGCACCGACATAAAAAGAAGACCAGGATTTTGTCAATGGCTCATATAAACATTTAAAAAGCAGGTTTCTATAAAATAAATATAGTTTCTAAACATTTATTAAATGAAATAATATAGAAAAGTGAAACAAACAGTGTCACAAAAATTACGGAACAGATGTACTTATTTGGCGTTGTTATTCACATATGGGAGGCGTTTGTGTATCAGCGTAAGCCTGTACCATTTGCGATCATCACAGAATATCTGAGATCCTTCTTCATTTTATCCCCCAAATTTTCTGCTCTGTATTCTAAGAGGTTGTTTCCCAAAGGGTTTCTCCACCAAAATTTTGTACGCATTCCTTATCTCCCACATTCTCAACACATTGACCTGTCCTAGATTTCAGTGACCCAACAGTACTTGCGAACTGTGTAAATCATGAAGTTATCCATCATGTGATACTCTAAGTGACATTGACATTTATTAATTGGTTACAATTTACAATGTTGGTCATGACTCTCTTGTCTTGTGTCCATTTCTAAACGTATTTAAATTTGTTTTAATATTTTATACTTTCATTTTAAACTGTACTGTTATTTCTCATATTTACCACCCCTACCCTCACAGTTTAAGATATATTATTTATTCCTCCTTATATTTTATTACTTATTTTTTCCCCATTTGTCTTTATCATTAAGTGATACCTTAATATGCTAAACAAAAGTCACTAACTTTCTTTCTGTTCTTTATTCTGTCCACGTGACCTTTCTCTACCTTTCATCCATAAAATTGCTGTTGAAGTTGGATTCTTATCCTCTCCCCTTCAACTGTTTTGTTTTAATTGGCGACTTTTTTCCTGGTTTCTGTTTTGTTAGTAACTTGCAACAAACATTTAGTACACAAGAGACATCAAAATCCTGTCCATGTTACAAGTCACAACAAGAACGGTTTTATTTCAGTGTTACTCTTTCAAGATGGTTGTTAAAACGGAGTAAAAATGTGATATGACTGTCTTTGTGCATACATTTTAAATATTATGTACTGAAGCATGTCAGTGTAAGGCTTGACACTGCTTCCTTGCCATAAACGTCCCAAAATACGGTTATTTTTTAAGTCATATCCGCTTCTTTGAGTCGTTTGTCAGTTTATCGTAAACAATTATTCTGCTACTCTACGCTACGTAATCAACTCAGTCAAAATGTTAATGAATAATGGCAATAAATAATTATTAATATTAATACTTTTATAATTCATGAAATTATCTGATGGGTGACGGTGATGAATTCAGCGATGACGAATATTTTCCTTTTGTCAGCACAGAGGTCAACAGGGTCGAGATTGGAACCCAGAAATTCAAGTGACAAGTGACCGGTTAAGATTCCAAATAAGAGACAGGCAGATTGTACCCAAGTATCGGTTGTAAGAGTGAGGCTGGAAAATTTCTTCAGGTCTGTAGAACAGGAACCTGAAGGGAAGGAAAATCTTGACGTCGGGGCGCTCCTGAAGCAGTCCCTCGTCGATGTGCTTGGCGTTCTTCAGCTGGTTTATGCAAACTGCATCAGTTCGTTGTCTGTTGCACACAGCATCCAGAGGGTTCAGAACCTGTAAAATTCATAAATCACTAAACTTTATTCTCATGTCTAAGCATCAAACCATGAAATTGTGACAGACTTTCATCTCAGCGTATAACAGCATTTAAAATTAAAAATATTTAGTAATATATATTTCTTATTTCCGTCTATACACAAAACTTAGTTGTTAAAATTGGTGTTATTAAAGTTTAAAAACTTAAAATTTGGCGCCCTTCATCGCTATTACGATGTTACAATTTTAGCGCTCATTATTTTAATTTCACAACATGTTTCGATACTACGGTATCATCATCAGGTTCTTATCATTATTTTTATCTTTAAAACTAATTCATATATTTTATAATGCAACTATCATTGATTTGTTTGTTTTGTAGTTTTCAATTTTGTAGGTTATTTCTTTTTACTCTTCGTCGTTATGTTTTAGATCAGTCGTTCTGTGGTCTGTGAAACAATTAATTGACATTCGAATTATTAATTCTTTATATGTAAAAGAGTTTGGACATTATAAAATATTTGTAAAAATATAGAAATATAAGCTTCATACCAACTTTGGTATTCACTATAGATTTTGTTTAAATGCGTTTGTATCAGGCTAAGTAATATGTGTAGGCAAGTACCAAATTCTGTAAAAACGTTGTACAGTACTTTCGAGTTGTGTGACTCTTACCACGCCTTGAGGTAGTCCCACATCGTAATTGGGTTGCTGGGTGCCGGGCTGGTAGGGACCCCTCGCGTACCTTAGAACCGCTAGTTGCATGGCCCTCTTGGTACCACATTCTCCCAGACCGCGTACCTGGATCCAGTACGCTCCCACCGGCTGATCGGCTGTGATGACGAAGTCGTACCGTTCCCCTGCGAAAAACGAAGTGTTTGTCATTCACGTATTGTGGGTTCTTTAAAATATCAGATAAACTTATATTATAATTTAATATGATTCGTTATTGAGCTTGATACAATTACATAATAAGGCTTAGAACAATTCCCTAGTAGCTTCTTAACTGTATAAAACACTGGCAACATCGAGTCAAGGCATGGACGTCTTTGGATTAAGAGTTTCCTAGGAATTTTATCGCAATCTGCCCAGTAGTACTGTAGTCAAACATGCAGATAGACAGAAGCTGCCAGAATAAATTATAAGATATATTTTCCAACACTCACAATTGGCTGTAAATTTTCTCATGACCTTAAATCAGAATGTTTATGGGTGTGGTAAAGAGTGTTAATTACCAGAAAAGGAGATGATGGTGTTAACGTTGACAGGGTGGACGGCCTCTCCGTCCGTTGCTATGACGGTCAATATGTGTCCTTCCACACTGAACTGGGCAGGGCAGACCGTGCCAAAAGAATTGATCAGTCTGAATCTGTACCTCCTGCCTGGCGTCATTGTGAAAACTTCCAGCGGAGTGTTGGTCATGTAGCCAGTGTTCGGATCCTGAAAGGCAGTCAGTCACAGTGAGTTACGTTTATGAAAAAAATTACATGTCCTACCAGACTCTTAAACTTCGTGTCTTCTTCACATTAAGGGAAGAAGTTTGAGAACAGACCTCTAAGAATGTCTGGACCTGGAAGAGGGGTAAGAGGAGAGTGGAAGAAATCACACATTCATAATCTCCATAATTTGTACTCGTCGCCAAATATTTGATTACCCAATCGAGGAAGTTGAGATGGACTGAACATGTACACACGAAGATAAATTCGACATTTATGTAAGTCTCATAACATCCGGGTAGTAGAGGGTTATGATGGACTGAACGTGTAGGTAGCATGAAGAAATAATACGTGAATGCATTATCTTTGCGTCTTGAAAATCGACCACTTGGATACTTGTGTTCGATTTTCGACATTGAAAGAGATTTTGATGTTCGAGATCATTCGAATCTAGGATTCACCCAGTTTCATATTCAGTAGTTATCAGGAATTTTCCTTCGGGGTGTAAAATCAGCTAGAGCGTGTACCTAACCATTCGACTTAATCTTTTGTCAATTATACCATTATTTTCAGCACTATCAGACGTTCAGACATTAATAATATATAATTTAGCGGTTGTTTTTAATTTTAGTAGTATGTTTGAAAGAATAAAAAAAGTGTTTTTTGAAGTTTTATCGATATGGCACATTATACAGGTTTAAAATTCAAGAGGATTGTCAATGATGAAATGGTTGTGGATTATTGAAGTATCATAATTGTTTCTGAATGGACTTAACAAAACAAAAAAGATTAATCAGAATAGCAAATGTCTGCATTTCATTTTCGTCAGAACTTGTTTTGAATTTTTTTTTTACTAAAGTTAGAGACGTAGCTAGAACATATAAAGCCAGAACACCTAACACGTAAAGAAGATGAATAAGTTTCGTGTACAGTTGATATTATTGAATTACCCTGAATTGTCCTTTGCCGTTGATGAGAACTGTGTCAGGGTCCTGACCCGGGTTTACGGCCAATCTTCCCGGGTACCGTTCCATCGCGTCCTCGTGAAGCCAGTCACTGATGAGTATCACGTGAGTTGTCAGGTCGAAGTCGTACAAATTGCTGTTGGGGTCCTGAGAGGGCGCCTGACGGATTACAATACTGCCATACACGCCGTCGAGCTTCTGCAGACCTATGCAAAAGTGATACAGAGACTTGTGACCCACCGTCAGTCTATTTTTAACGAGTGTGCTTATCAATACCTAACCTAACCTAACCAAGAACAGTTTTATACGAAATAAACGGAGATAAAGCATTATTTTCTACGATAATGGGGCCGCCCCCATCCTTAGTGATAAAGAGGTCGGAGCGTGAATCTAAACGTTTAAATCAGACGCTGAAGGCAAAATCACGTTGCGTTTTATATCATCTTCTGCATACATTTTCGTGGCGTGATGCATAACCACAGGAACAACTTTAGTTTTTGCAGGATTTGATGTTTTACGGCGGCGAACATGAAGGTGGCTGTCTTCTGGGTTTAACGCCGTGTAGTCTGGTAGAAGTTTACCGACGTTTCAGAGGTACTTGCTATCACCATCGCCAGGACGATGACACAGAAGACAGCCATTTTAAGCTTTTCTTGCTTTCCTATTTTTGACAACTCACTTACATTGCAAATGATAGGTTTCACAAAATATATTGGGGGAAACGGAAGTGAACACCAGTTTTGGAGACTGTTTCCAGTCTTTATCATGTAAAAATTTTGTACTTGGCCTCTAAAATATTTGATTTGTATCTGCAGTTTGACAGTTCTCCGTGCTAATAAGTAGTAACATTTATACATTAAAACTTGTGATTAAATTATTTAACTCTGTGACGTCTGTTTGGAACGTACCAGTGTGAGCGTGCCAGAAGTGTGTACCAGCATTACCAGCAAGCCACTGGTACCGAAAAGTGTTTCCTTGTTGGATAGGGCACTGGGTTACGAAAGGGACACCGTCTGAGTACTGAGTTCCTCTCTGCCAGATTCCATGCCAATGGATGGTGACCTCCATTCCTTCCATACTATTCAAAACATCGATAACTACCTTGTCGCCCTCACAGACCTGCAAAACATAAATGAGTCCACACTCGTTACACCAACACGACTTACGACTGATAATGCATGTAACAGTTCTGAATTGGTTTGTTCTTAACGTCGCCGAGGCAAGTTTCCTACTGAAGGCAAACAAGAACAACTCCTGTTTACTGTATATTGTATATTGTATGCGTATAGGTCTATTATGTGTGCTAATAGATATAAGAACATACGAAGGCTGTCAGTTATGGTTTGTGACACCGCGTTTTCATGTAGGTAGTTATGAACGTTTCGGAGGAACGCATTGCGTCCATCTTCAGGGTTGAAAATGGAGGCGTTACAATTACGTTTTCAGAGTAACTTCTTCAGCATCCTATAACAGCGCTCCGTTTTTATTATCTTCCGCAAAAAATTAACAGATGACTGTCTTATGGGCTGTAGTGTGGTAAACGTTTTCCGACACATGGAAACATACTAATATTCCTTTTGTTAGTGGTCAGCGTTGTAATTCTACAAACGTGTATTTGCTTACATTTGAAAGTAATTGAATGTGTATAACTAAGTACAAATCTGAATGATCAATAAAATCTTCTCGGGCTATCAGCCGCGTCAACTGGTTACCGTAGTAAACCGACGTTTCGGGAACCAACTCTGTCGCCATCATCAGGGTAACCAGTTGACGCAGCTGATTGACCGAGAAGATTTTATTGATTGTACTCGCCGCGAAAGTCTCAAATCCTAAATCTGAATAAGTTTTTTTCACCCACCCTCTTATAATGACGGGTATTCCCGCAGGACTCACCTGGATACTAGGTCCTGGCAGCATTCGGTTGACGCTGAGGATTCCTCTCTCCACCCCGTCAGCCAGAATGCACTGACAGTGACTCCACACGGTGTTGGTAGCGTTTGGAGTACAAACTTGGCACGCCCTGGAACACGTACTTATATGGTGAGTACAGAACTGCTTGAAAGATCAATGTGTTAATGGCAAGAAACTATCTTCTTATGTCAGGGTCCTTCCTGAAGACCTAATGGTACATTAAGTTAGTGAAGAAATACCCCGGCTTTTATGGATCTCCAAGGCTCATTACCGTGTCCACAAAATCCTGCTATTGGCTCCAGTCGTTAGCATTACGTATCTAATACACACCCTATCCCTATTTCCCAAACATTCATTTTAATATTATCCTCCCATTTGCTCCTAGTTCTTCCGTGTATTGAGATACACGGAAAGTTCTTGTGTGTTTTGTTTTGTCCAAATGTCGGACATGTTTTAGGTCATTACGTGCTAGTCGTTCTGTCGTGAAATGTACGGGCTTAAAATGTCAGACGTTTAGGTTGATAATTAATCAGAAAGGGGATAAAGGGGACTCGCTTATGATGCCATTTAGTTTTCATTTTGTCCTACTCGCTCTGTTGTAACGTAATACTCATGTACTAGGTGGATCATTTATCTTATTCAAGGAAATTAATTATCACTGACAGAGTAGCTGTAAGCAGGTTGGCCCTTCTAAGTATTTCAGTGCCAAGGAACAAATTAGTTTAAATACAATTATGGACATATTCTGGCATCATAATTAAAAATCATTACATCCTCAGCCAGCTCAGTCCCATCATTTAGATGTATAATAAAATCCTGTCATCTACGTCAGAGATACCAAGCCACATGTGCTAAAAGACAACCACGTAGAGGTCTTATATAACAGTCTTTTTCAAGTTTTCGTGCGATAAAAATATTATTCAGCCTAATGTATGCATGGGGATTGAATTCTTTGCTGTGTACTGAAAATGTGTAAAATGGGGAAAAATGACAAGTGTCATTCTCTCTGTATTTAAATAATATAGGAGCATGTGATGGACTGGGCATCGAACACGTAATTATAAGGTGGGGAAAAGACAATAAATGCATGCAGTATTTTTTAAAAGACCATTCAGAAGACAGGTAATTAAAAATAATTTTGAAGTTGAGAATTGAATAAAAGTGGTTCAGAATCGTATGAAACAACAGAATTTTGGAAAAGCGGTGTTAAACTTTATATTCTGCTATTACAGTTACGAGCGCCACGGTGGTCTAGCGGTTAGAACGCTGGCCTTGTAATCCTGGGGCCTCGGGTTCGATTCCCGGCGGTGCCCGAATTTATAACTTGTGTTGGGCAAGGCCGTGGTCCAGGTATCACGGAGTTTTCCTCCGGGGGCTTCCCCGGTTTCTCCGTGGCATCCCAACAATTACTCCATTCACACACAGAAGAAGGCAATGGCAAAGCACTTCTGGATCATCTGCCAAGAACGTATATGAACAGGTCCCAGTCCGAGAAAAGGATGGAAGGATCCTGTTCATATGGACCTGTCGTCAGACAGAACACTAAATAAAATATAAAATAAAATTACAGTTACGTAATCTGTTCGATTACTTGTGACATATAACAGTACTTTCTTCTCACGGTTAAAATGCTAATGTCACAGAAAGGATTTAATCACGATTATCCTGTGCCTGCTCTCATATATCAAACTTCAGTTCCATCCATTTGTAGGCAAGATACGGTCCTGTAATTTTAAGTCGTGCCCTGAAGCTTTGCGCTTAATGCACTTTAATGAAGATACGTCCGAGCAGAAAGCAACTACCGTAGCCTATTATTAATTTGTCGCTCTTTTGAATCTATTTCTATGGAGGTTTGGACACGAATTTCTTGTCTGTACAGTTGCTCAAGTTAATAATACACAAAGAGATTTGTAAGAGAATATTATTTTTTTTAACTAACTATGTAGAGTATCGTCTTTCATAGTAAAGAAATTAAATTACGACCGTATTCTGGAAAGTGATCGTTTTTTACCGTGTTCATAAGAGTCCTATGCATCTTGTTCTGAGCCCCCTTTTCACATTATATCTTCAGATCTGTGCCTAGGTCTCTCGTGGTCACTTAACTTTATCCACCTAAAATATCGTACACATTTCTCGTTTCTCCCAGGCATGCTATACGCTCTTCTGAAATCCTCCGCCATCATTTGACCACCTTAAGAAGATTTCGTGAAGAACATAAATTATTAAACTCCTTATACATTTTTCAACATCCTATAACTTTGTAAGATTTGAGGTTTTCACAGGGGTGAGTATGAAGATGTCTGTCTTCTGGTTTGTTCCGCTGTGTAGTCTGGTCGATGTTTACCAACGTTTCAGAGGTCGTACTGCCTCCGTCATCAGGGCGATGAGTATGAAGATTTCTGTCTTCTGGGTTGTTGCGCTGTGTAGTCTGGTCGATGTTTACCAACGTTTCGGAGGTCATACTGCCTCCATCCTCAGGGCGATGAGTATGAAGATTTCTGTCTTCTGGGTTGTTGCGCTGTGTAGTCTGGTCGATGTTAACCAACGTTTCA